ACAATTTACAAAATTTCACTGTTTATAAAAAGCCACGTTATTATTTTACTATTATCTTACTATTATGGTATTAGATTAGGATCAGAGGCGTAGCGACCTTTCCCGTCGCCGGGGGACAAACTTTCGATTTGCACCCCCCCCCCACCCTCAGACTTTCAATTTGCACCCCCCCCCCCCCCTCAAACTTTCGATTTACACCCCCCTTCAAACTTTCAATTTGTTTTTCCAACCCATTTTGGCGTCCCCCATTTGGTGACCTTTTTGTCGTGATCAATTGTAAACTCCAAGACTGAAATAAAAACCAGCTTCACATGTAAAGGCAGGATGACACCAATGTTCATAGCAACAGCAACTAGAAGTAGACTGGTGAAGAAAAAGGATATAAACTAGCTACATTCTTTCGGGTATTTCTACTGGCTCAAGCAGGTCACACGTGATGGGGTTTCTCCGCTTGGCAGGGGGCGCGCTTAGACAGACTACTCTCATTGTTCTCCGATAAGTGTTTTAATCCTGTTTAAAGTTGTTTTTTTATAATATTTTTAATGGGTTTTGATAAATAAAATAGTTGTTAATATTTGTGCATGGAACTGGAGAGCCGCATCTTGACATCAATGGAGCTGCATTCGGCTCGCGAGCCGCAGGTTGCTGACCCCTGGTTTAACTTAACTTAAGAAACACAAATTGTTTGCTGAGTCCTTTTATGTAGGGGATACAAAATTTACAACATAAGCATCTGCAATGCTAGACAAGCTCTATTAATAGATCTAGAATGTTCCTTAAGATTTGAAACAAGATATTGCGTGCCTCACCTAGTAAGATGATACATTTTTCGCCATCCTGTGCGTAATAAATTGTAACAGTATATTACACATGTATCGTTGCAATGATACAACGTGTAGCGTCACAAGGTCTTATGTTACCGGATACGTAACTGAGTATGTCAACCCTTCCAAGAATTTAAGATTTTCAGTTTGGTGTTACCCCTCTCCACCCTTAAATGTATCACTCGAACATGATAAAGGAATGTTTTGAAAGCAAATTTTACGAAATTCGTTTTGGTATTCCCCCTCTCCACCATTAAATGTATCACTTGAACGGGATAAAAGTATGTTTTGAAAGCAAATTTTACGAATTTTCGTTTAGGTGGCATCTCTCTCCTCTTTAATTGTATCATTTGAATAAGATAACATGTTTTAGAATTTAACAATTAACATGTCCATGCAGTGGCGGAACTAGAAAAAATGGACCACCCCGCAAAAAAAATGTGGCCCCCCATATGTATATATATATAGTATATATATATATATATATATATATATATATATATATATATATATATATATATATATATATATATATATATATATATATATATATATATATATATATATATATATATATATATATAATGAGCTGCGTTCTAACTTTACATAGAAGAAATTTCTCCAAAAGACAACATCATTACTCTTTACGCTGTTATTTTCAATGTAGACCCTATACTTATTACTCCGCTTTGATGGTAGACTTAGTTTACCGATAATGAAAGGCCTTATTACGATTCAGGGGATAAATGTTTTAAATAAACTTTTGCTCTTGGAGATAATCACAAGTTAATGTAGCAACATCAGCACGGCAAAAGAAAAATGTACTCAAATTTAAGAAAAGAAAATGATATTCCCCACTGTAGAGGATCATGCTTACGTTTCGGTTGGTCTCCTTACTTAGCCCTAGCCTAAACTAGTTTTTTTTTTTACAAAGGCCGTAGAAATGTTTAGCACACTATTTAAACAACCTCACCTTATGCCCGTCAAAAGAGAGCCACTTCAACTAACGCAGTCTTAAAGATCACTGATGCTAATCATTCTGTCACTTTAAAACAGCGACATAGAAAATTACCTGTTTGCTACTAATACTGTAATAACTGGTCTATCTATAGACGGCGATGTTACCCAGTTGAGATGTGTATTAATCATGATGTGTTGATTTTTTAAATGAATTTTTTTTGAGGAACCCGAGCAGAGGGGGGGGGGGGGTGGCGGGGGGGGGGGGGGGAGGGGACCACACCGGGTGACACCGTTTAGGGGGGGGGGTGACACCAAGGCAAAAAATAGCAAAATATATTCATAGAAATGATAATCCCCCTAAATTAAGTGATTAGTTAGAGTGTTAAATAGTCTTTTAAGAGCAAATTTCACAAATCCCGACAAGGGTGAGGGGGGTGGGAGGGTGACACTATGACGTAAATCTGCTAATGATAGAGAAAACATGCTACATCAAGCTGTATTTATAACCGACTATAGATAAAAATCGTTAGTATTATATCTGAGCACAGTTTAAAGTGGTTGAATAGATTACTGCTTAAATAAAACAAACGTTAGAAAATACTTCATAATAACAAAGCTTTTCTTCTTCTTCTTCGTTCTTACTTTTAGTGTTGGAAGGGTTCCGCTCCAACACAATTAAGTATACGACGTTGAGGCAGTTGACTCCGATTTCAGCCTGCTTTTCTTTTTGGATTTGCTTCCATAGCCTTTGTCCAACCAAGAACACACTATAAGGAAGACGTTGTTTGATTTTGGAGTTGTCTCTCCTAGAAGAAGGTTCGAGCTCGAGACATTTCGGTTTAGCAACCATGAGCTTTACACTGAAATTAAAAACGTTTCAAAATAAAAGAATCAGTCGCGGGACACGAAGCGCCCCGGGCTCCCCTTTGAGTACTATGGCTAGTACGTTTTTTTTTTGTTTTTTTTTAAAGGGCTTTGCACTAAAGACACGCTTGGCTACAAAAATCTTTGAATATATCGAATCAGGCGCATCTCCCGGCGCCCAGGCAGGGGGCGATTATGCTCCCGGGGCTCACCCGTGAGCAATATGGCGCCTACGTTCGTTTTAAAGAGTGCGATAGGCTATGGATACAAGGGTTGCTATTGTATTTCATTGAATAAAATCAGGAGCGTCCTTCGGCGCCCGAAGGGTGCTATTTCGCTCACTAGGCTTTCCCTTGAGCGTAATGGCGCACACGTTCGTTTTAAAAAGCACCCTACATAACTGACACGGTGGTACACAACATTCACTGATTAAACCGAGCGAGGGGCGCGGCTCCCCTGCGGTAGTGTAACTCGGGGCTCCCCATACCGCCCTGCTACGTCACTGAGATCTGGGCGGTCGCCGAAGTGTGTCCTAACTCACTGTTACTGTTAGTGATTAATATAAACTCAAGGCTTCTATACACCACGCCTTCGGGCGTGCTGGGCAGTAAGTGTAGGCAAACCCCTTCCAGTGTTTCTCCCAGAGAAATGTTTCTACCGGGGGTGCACTTGAAATTTTCAGGGGGGGGGGGGCGGACGACAATTTTCAATATAAATTCCAATTCCCCCATCCCCCCCCCCCCCCCCCCCCCCGACCATTTTGATCCAAGTGCAGGCATTGTTTGCATTTAAATAACTCAGTTTTAGAAAACGAGGTCACACTTCTAGGAATTTAGGATTGTGGGTAAAGGGGAATAATTCCGTTTTTTATTTTTATTTTTTTTTACCTTGACTTTTTCCCCTTGTAAAATCTATTTATTAACAATTTGAATTTGCCCAATAGCGGCAGACTTTTATTTCCAACGTAAGCCTCTTTGTGGTGTGAATTATTTGTTTCAACTATTTGCATGTAATAGTGTGCACATTTTTAAATTAATTAATTAATTAATTTTGAACATTTAAAATACCAAATAATAATTTATTTGGTAGTTTTACACAGCTTCAAAGACATGAACATCAATTGTATATATAGTAATTCAATGTAGAAAATAAAACGGCATAAGAACTAGACCAGGGGTCTCCAAACTACGGCCCGCGGGCCGGGTGCCGTCCGCGATGTTCTCTCATCCGGCCCGCGGAGATCTTTCTGTCCACGGAAAAAAAAACGTTTGTTAGTGATGGCTGAGCAACTTTGCCCAGAAAAATCAAAGACATGTCTGGAACTAACTGGCCCCCGAACTGAAAATTGATAGTTAATGCGGCCCTCGGACTGAAAAGCTTGGAGACCCCTGAACTAGACCAAAATATGGTGTGCAACTCTGTTTCTTTTGACTGCTTAGTTTACTGTGCTCCATCCTCAGCTGCGAAGTCAAAAGTTCACATTGTAGCTACCCATGGCCAGAAACAAAAATGACCGTGGGGAAAAGGTTCTCTGTAATACACATACTGATCTATCATTCCAAAATTTTCCATGACACAAAATTGACCCCTGGGGATGAGGGGACGCTGCCCTTGATTTTCCCGCCAGTCCGGTTGGGTGTTGGGAAGTGGAGGGAGGGGGGGGGGGGGGGGTGAGGGTGAGGTGTGTATTTCTTTCTACCATTCAGATTGTGCATTTTTAAAACCTGAGTGAGAAATCTAAGACTGTTCAAACCTTAATTTACTCGAGGGCTGATAGAGGGTTGTTTGGCTTGAGACTGTCTAAATTAAAATTAATACTTTATGTATTTTTTTTCTATAAATTAAAAAAAATTTTTTTTAGATAGGTGTGTAATTTTTTTTTTTTTTACTTTTTTTTGGCTTCATATATATGGCACTATTGTAATTTTCATAATTGAACTTTCTTTAAATGTGTTATTTAGCCAAATCGATATTAATTAAAGTAACTGTATTTTTCATGTTTCTAAAATTTTCATCTTTATATTACGTACATAAAAAGTAAAACACTTAAAAAAATATATAAATAAACTGTTTAATAAGAAACAGAAGAAAGTTATATGTAGTAAAAAAAATTTTTATAAAATTAAATTAAATCACAAAAGAGGTGTGGTTGTGTCCCTTTGCCTACATGGAATAATGATCAACAACGTAAGATAAACATATTAAGAGTTAAAATAGAAAAACACGATGAGCACGGTAAATCAAAGATTGAAAAATGAAGCACAGTGTATAGATTCTTGTTTAAGTCAGTATGAGATTTTAAAGTGTATGGGTAACGCTGAGTCGTCCCCTTTTAAGTCGTGCAGTCAGATTTTGTCGTACTGTAATCGTTCCTGGTGTAAGGGAAGTAACAATGAAAACTACGCATCCTGATATTTCCATCCGGTGCTACCCCCTTATGAAAAAAAAAGCCTACGTTATTTACAACCACCGAACATTGGTTCGTTCTTAACCTGGTTTCGATCGAACCCCACGGGTTCAGTAAATCAGTTTCAGGGGTTCGGCGGAGGTCAAGACGCACATCCAACTCACAATCGGATCTTGTCAGTGATGACTCAGTTCCGTCGCAGAGAGATGCCTAAAAGAAACTCTAAGCATTTGTTTACCGTCATCAGAATCGACCCACTCTAGTGTTCTGACGTCATGACAACAAATCCAGCCTTCCGCTCTTCTCCAATATCATCCGTCCCATCTCAGCAAAAACATCTTTCCCGTTTTTTATCTTCTCCGGCGTCGACAGCGACTCTGGGGGTTTGGGGGCGGTGAAGTGGAAAGCCCGGGCGTCCCTCCAGTCAAACGGCTCCACCGGGTTCTCGTCCAGAATGTCCCGGAAGTAGTCGGGTTGCCAGGTGGGGTGGCACACGCCGTGGTAGCAAGTTGCCTGGGTGGGCGAGAGGGGAGAGAAAAATCTTTACGTATTGGGGGTGACGTGGGTGGGAGGGGGGGATAGGGGCTACGACTTAAGGTGCTAAAAATGTCTGCGTATCAAATATTAGCTAGGATAGAATTTTGTGTAACAGAAAAATTTAAAGGACACGTTCGGACCAGACGGTCAATGGAGCAGGTGAAGTAGAGTTCACCTAGTTCCTTGACTTCGGCATATGAAGTTACAGTGTGGAAAGCACTATGCACAGTCGCAATAGGCCTGGTAAGCAGGTCACCAACCAGTTCTACGGCTCAGTAAAACCTGCATGAGCCATAGAACCGGTTGGTGACCTACTTACCAGCCCTATTACTTTCCCTAACGTGAGCTAGGTACCCACTAGAACTAGGTAGGCTCAACATCCTAGAAACTCGTCCAGGATCCGAACTTGAGACATTCGGGTTTGCTGTCGAACGCTCTACCATCCGACCACGATTACATTGTGTTGTGTGCTTTTAAAATAATTTCTCAGTTTAATAAAATGGCTGGTAAGTAGGTCACCAACCAGTTCTACGGCTCAATAAAACTTTGCTTGAGCCATAGAACTGGTTGGTGACCTACTTACCAGCCCTATTCCAACATGTTCAATCAACACCACCCGTATGCCCCACCGTGTATGCATGGATACACCTATCCTCAACACACCTGTAGATACCTGTCCACGTAGAGTAGATCTGGGTGTTGTTCGTACACCTTGTACGGCATGAGAATGGCGTTAAATGACCACTTGTCGTCTCTATAGTAGCTAGGGAAAAATACAAAATTGTTGTTGTTTACTCTATACCGATTGATCGTTCACAAAAAAAGACATTCAGTCTGAAAAAGAGTATCCGAGTTATTTTAAAATAGTGATAACTTGCCCTTGGTTATATATATATATATATATATATATATATATATATATATATATATATATATATATATATATATATATATATATATATATATATATATATGAATACGTATATCTGTAAACACATACATATATACATATACATATATATATATATATATATATATATATATATATATATATATATATATATATATATATATATAATATATATATATATTATATATATATATATATATATATATATATATATATATATATATATATATATATATATATATATATATATAATCTTTCTTTAGCATTTCATTATAATCTTAAAATTTGAATTGTGAAATGTGAAATGTACACCTAATTACATATTTAATAAGGCAGCTATTGTGTACAGACTATATTGATCTTCAGGAGACGATTGTGAACAATGAATTGATTCACCAAGCATTACTGAAACCTAAACGTGTGTTGGCAGGTGTAAGCCGCAGATCACAACTTCTGATAGAACGACTCGGAGATATGAGTTGGTGCTGACAATGTGCTGGGGGCTATCGCAGGAACAGCGGGCCGGTATTATGGGGAGGGGGGGGGGGTGATTGTGAGACAAACCGAAAAATATATTTAATATTGACACGGTAGTTTTTATACCGGTTCTTTTACAGCTGCTTCAGAGAAAGAAAAAAAAACGGTGTTTTTTAAAACAACATATCCACGTTTATGTGGGGAACTCCAATGAGTTCTTACGTTAAACTGAAGGTCTTGGATATGAGAGCCGAAACGGTTGTGCTGAATGGGGATGAGTTTAACCCATTTGGTTTAGAGACATGGTTGTGATTTGGAGGGGGTCTCAGAGATTTGTAGGGGTCAGAGATGCGGCATATTTGGAGGGGTCAAAGACAGTGATGTGGAGGGGTCAAAGATAAAGCATACATACATAGATGGGTCAGAGATATAGAATACTTAGAGGGGTCATAGATACAGAATACTTAGAGGGGTTATAGATACAGAATACTTAGAGGGGTCATAGATACAGAATACTTTGAGGGGTCAGATACAGCATACATAGAGGGGTCAGAGATAGAGAATACTTAGAGTGGTCAGAGACAGTGATCTGGAGGGGTCAGATACAGCATAAATAGAGGGGTCAGAGATAGAGATACGGTGGGATCACAAACTAATGACTTCTGTAATTCACAAAAGTAACGTATACCAAGCTTTCAGTAAAATGTAATCGGTAATTTTCAAATAAATACAGAACTAACACTGAAAGACTAGAACAGGTAAAGCAGCGTTCATGTGTTCTTGTTTTTATTTCTATTTTTTTTTTATTATTTTTTTTTTTGTATCTAAGTACATGAATGCTCAGCACTATAGTCAGCTGTAATCCCCAATTCATGCCAGGTACTATCATCGCTGAGCTTATGCTCAAGGAAACTCGAATCTCCCGTTCTATCAAAAGCATGTACTCACAATTCTAACAAACGCTCACCCGAATGTTCTCAGAAAATGCTTCAGGTATTCGGACCCAGCATGTACTCACAATTCTAACCAACGCTCACCCGAATGTTCTCAGAAAATGCTTCAGGTATTCGGACCCAGCATGTACTCACAATTCTAACCAACGCTCACCCGAATGTTCTCAGAAAATGCTTCAGGTATTCGGACCCAGCATGTACTCACAATTCTAACCAACGCTCACCCGAATGTTCTCAGAAAATGCTTCAGGTATTCGGACCCAGCATGTACTCACAATTCTAACCAACGCTCACCCGAATGTTCTCAGAAAATGTTTCAGGTATTCGGACCCAGCATGTACTCACAATTCTAACCAACGCTCACCCGAATGTTCTCAGAAAATGCTTCAGGTATTCGGACCCAGCATGTACTCACAATTCTAACCAACGCTCACCCGAATGTTCTCAGAAAACGCTTCAGGTATTCGGACCCAGCATGTACTCACAATTCTAACCAACGCTCACCCGAATGTTCTCAGAAAATGCTTCAGGTATTCGGACCCAGCATGTACTCACAATTCTAACCAACGCTCACCCGAATGTTCTCAGAAAATGCTTCAGGTATTCGGACCCAGCATGTACTCACAATTCTAACCAACGCTCACCCGAATGTTCTCAGAAAACGCTTCAGGTATTCGGACCCAGCATGTACTCACAATTCTAACCAACACTCACCCGAATGTTCTCAGAAAATGCTTCAGGTATTCGGACCCAGCCCTCGCCATGAGCACCCCAATGTTAAACACACCCGGCCACGCCCCGTTTCTTGCCCAGTCGTTACACACTACAGCTGGGTACCGTCTTAAATCGTCGGGGATTCGGTTGACCCAGATGACGTCAGTGTCCTGGTGAGATAAAAATATATAGAGAGAGAGATAAAATAGATGAGATCAATGTAAACATTAGGATCAATTTATATATAATTGTATAGCGTGGTTTGAAGGGGTGGTGGTAGGTATCCTTTTTTTTTATTTTACTCTAAATCTTTGGGTTTTTAGGTGTGTAGACGAGCTTCTTTCTTCTTCTTTTTCGTTCTCAATTTTTAGTGTTGGAAGGGATCCCCTCCAACACAATTAAGTATTCGTGTCAACTGGTTATGCGCCATTGAGGCCATTCTCCGATTTCAGCCTGCTTTTCTTTTTTGGCTTGTTTTCATAGCCTTTATCCAACCAAGAACAAACTACAAGACAGCAGTAGTTTAATTTTGAAGTCGTCTCTCCTAAAAGAGTGGCTGTCCCCAGCTAACGAGCCTCATCTGCCCGAGGGCAACCATGAGCTTTACCGACTCGACCACGCCGACCCCCTTGAGAGAAGACGAGCAAAAACTGGGATGTTGTTACAACCAAAGTAAGGCCTTCTTCCATATTAGATTTCGCATCACTGCTAAAACGAAAGTCCTAATCTCTGACTCCATGAGTCCACCCAGCTCTGATGAGAAATATGCGTAAAGTGAAAAATGCGTAAATATAGTGTTTCTTCCAGACTCAAGAAGCGAATAAATCATTCAAGCTAATCAAACATCCGTGTTTGCTTGAATGTGAAAGTAGTGCATTAGTAACCTAATACGTTTCAAGATAGGGTTTTCTTAGGGTCAGTGTTTCTTCCAGACTATTTTCTCCCGGGGGGGGGGGGGGGGGGGGCACTTGATATTTTCGAGGGGTGGGGGGGGGGGGGAGGCGGACTAAATTTTCCAAAGAGATGCCTGGAAGAAACACTACATACACATTAATGTAAATATACTACTACACTTTAATTTTGTCGTATTCCGTGGATAAATGTTTCACTATGCTACGATGCATATGTGATCTTTTTACTTATGACTAAAAATGCTCGCTTTTAAAAAATAATTCTTTTGCGCAAGTTTTTGCGCAGTCTCCTGTTGCACATTTTTTCCTATCACCGTAAAAACGATAGACACGACTATATACTTGATCAAAATTGTTTTAAAACGTGTTAATTAATTACGTCTAAACTGGCCTAGCAAACCAAACGCGTGTACACGCCACTGATCAACTCACCTGGTAAACGCCGCCGTACCTGAGCAGAATTAAGACACGCAGCACGTCAGACTGGTGGGCGGGGACGGCGACGCCATGTTGGAACACCGTTTCCGGTTGTTCGATCTGCGCGGAGCATCAGAGATTAAACGTAGTATCGTAATGTGTGTTATAACTTCATTTAAATGTATTATTCCTTGAAAGAGTGATTAAAATGAATAGTTTCCTTTTTTACTTTGTCGTTTACGAAATATATAGAAAGTATTGTAATCGGGCAAAAAAAAAATGAGATTTTTACAAATCTCGACGTTTTTAACCTCCCTTAGTCGGAAAAACATAGTTTTGCAATTGTGCCCGTATGTCTCTGTGTGTATGTATGTATGTGTATGTGTGTTTGTAAACACGATAACTTGAACACCGTTACAGCTAGGTTCATGAAATTTCATTTATAAGCATTTTATCAAATTTGTCGTTCTGTATCAATTTTTCAACCGGAAGTGAACTCATTCTATTTTCAATTTTTCAAAACCCTATAACTTGAGTACTGTTTCAGATAGATAAACAAAATTTCAAACATAAGTAATAGATCTACTTTTCTGCCTTCTATCACATTTTGAGTAATACGCTATTTCCGATTTCTCAAAACAAAAACGCATGTGAATTCATAAAGTATTAATAATATTCCGCACTATTGTACACATATTATTTAGCGTTCACTTGGTGGGCAATTCATTTTTTTCTACGAGATTCTATTCAATTTTAAAAAGTTTAAGTAATTAAAAATCATGTCTATATTCCGAGGTGCCATCCCCCGTTTTGTTATATAAGAATATTCAAGAATGTTTAGGAGAGATCACTCCCGGTTTATTTCTTTTGGTGAAAAAAATATCACTATGACGTCTAATGATATGATAATAAATGTATATAAATGTATTACCTTTACAAATGTGACGTTCTCCCCACCTAACTTGTCTTTACCTTCACAAACGTGACGTTTTCCCCACCTAACTCGTCCCACCACTTACCTTCACAAACGTGACGTTTTCCCCACCTAACTTGTCCCACCACTTACCTTCACAAACGTGACGTTTTCCCCACCTAACTTGTCCCACCACTTACCTTCACAAACGTGACGTTTTCCCCACCTAACTTGTCCCACCACTTACCTTCACAAACGTGACGTTTTCCCCACCTAACTTGTCCCTTACCTTTACAAACGTGACGTTTTCCCCACCTAACTCGTCCCACCACTTACCTTCACAAACGTGACGTTTTCCCCACCTAACTTGTCCCACCACTCTCCCTGAGGTATCTCATCCCCGTGGACAAAAACCCTCTTGAACCCTGCGACGTGAAGCGCTGAGATAACGCTGAGGTAATGCAGGAACCGGAACTCTGTAGATTTGGCACTTTGCTCTTTGGCCGGAAACAACACCAGGTGAGATATCAGTGGGATGTAGTCCTGGGGTCTGTCTGTTTGTCGGACTTTGATGATGCCTCTCCGCCCGTAATGGATCCAGCGAGCTAGCTCTGAGAACCTCGAGGAGTTGTCCCATACGTCTTTGGGATATACTGATTGCGTAATGATCAGGCAAGGGTTATCCTGAATACGAGATACGTCAAATGAATTATATTCCGAAACAGATACGCATTTTAAATCCGAACTCAGAATATAATCTAATTTATGATGGATGGTGTTTTCCGGGAATGCCGATTTGCTAAAAATAAAACCTTGTGTGACGTCACTATGCTCGGCGGTCCAATGAAATCGGTAGAAAAAGTTTTGAGTTTTAAGTTGTTTGGGGTATCTTGTTAGTATGGTGCTCTCTTCTAAGTAAAGTCCCGCTTGCTTAGCAAGTCTGGTCATAGCGAGTTCTAGAATATCACGTGACCCGCATCGTAGATCAAAGTTCACGTGACGGAGCACCAGGTTGGGCACTGACTGCGTCAGTTCCTGGAACCACGTGTGGTACCAGAAGTCGTCCACTTCCGGCAGGTGGTGGTAGTAGAAATAAATCTTCAGAGGTCGAAGAATTCTCACGGCGCTCAACAAGCTCAGCTGGTGCTGGAACTGGAACACCTTCCTGCCGCACCAGACGTAGTGGACGACGGACGCACCCTCGCCCGGAAGTGACGAGTTGTTCTCCACTTCCGGCCAGCCATCTTGTGTGTACATATCCCTGTGAAGAGGTATAGACCGCGCCTCTTTGTAGAGTCTAAGAGACTTCAATTCAGAACGTGAGTTTTCCAACATGGCGTATAAATACACTGATAACACACACAGTGATGTCACTAAATACACGAGGACATTTTTTCTGTGTTTTACCACAAGGTGATACATCCTCAACATTATGTTAGTCCACATCTACGAAGTTTATTTGTTTTTCAAGAAAAGACAATGTGTACCTGTGCTTAAGAATTGAATCCTTAAAAGAAAAACTATAATAGGTTGTTCAAAACAAAAATATCAGCCGTTAGTGAAGAACAAGTAGCCGGAATGTTATGGGCATAACTTTGATAGATAAACTGCTCTAAACAGTATACAATGGAGAGGTGTGGATGCGTCCCTGTATTCCACAAGTGTCCCACGGGACAGAAGAAGATGAAAATTTACACTTTTAACTTAAAGATCACCATATAATCTAGGATTTTTTTTGTTGTTGTTGTTTAAGTGAGCAGCGATTTTTAACTTAATATTCACATTAATAACACTTATCTAAAATACGTTACAGATTAAGAGTATTCTTAAAAGAATCAAGCAATATATGCCGTACAATTGGTCAACTCACATATCTTTAAATTCTCAAATGTATATTTTAAAATGTATTCACCATAGCACACACATTATTTTAGTATCCACTTTATTGCACACATTATTTTAGTATCCACTTTATTACACTGAAAACAATTATCCAAAGAATCCACTTCCCACAAAAGGCTATCAATAACACTTTTGTACGCTCTTCAACAATAAAATTACTAGTTATACTGCCACCAAACGATTCAAAGTTCCACACAGTACCTAATCAATACATGAAGCAATTGTTATTGGTTCTTACTGCAACAGAGTGGAGTTGTAGTGAGTAATTAACATAAATCAATTGCCGTTGAATCATGATATGAAAATGGCCGATTTTTAAAAAAAAAATTTTTTTTTGGTAGTTTTGACTTGAAAAGAACTTCGAAAAAAAAATGATAATAAATTAAAAATTAACTTTTCTATATATACTATATACTATGTCAGGGGTCGGCAGCCAGCGGCTCGCGAGCCGCATGCGGCTCTTTTGATGTAAAGTTGCGGCTCTTCAGCTCCATACACAAATATTATTAATTATTTAATTAATCATAAAAATATTAATCTGCAACACTCTGTAATAAACGACATAACAATAGTTATAAACAATAAACATTCACTATTCTATTAGAATATTTAGTTACTCCCTATCTCAGTGTACTTCCTATTACATTGTCCATTCCGAATTGAAATATTCAAATTCACAAAGAAACTAAACCAGCTAAGTGCAAAACTGAAAGGAAAATCTAGTCTATGTCTTGCTTGAAAAAGTGGTTTGTCTCGAGAAAAAAAAATTTTTGTTGAATACATGATGAGCGGTAAATAACCTAATTACGAAAAATCTGAAAAAAAAATATCGTTATGAAGCCAATGCTTCTATTCAATCACTTCAGCATTAATATAAACAAAATGAAGGGTGTTTTCACTAAGAGATTTGAGCTATTCAAAACAAATGCAAGTACTCTGACTGACATAGTAGATCCTCTCAACACAAATTCAAATGAGATTATCTCATATGTTCAAAGCTATTTATTTTAAATGTTATATATATATATATATATATATATAGTATGATACTTGTTTAGGATTATATATATACTGAACAAATATACTATTAACATGTTAGTGGCTCTTTATAAAAATTGTAACTTATGCTCTTTCGTCTCAAAAGGTTGCCGACACCTGTACTATGTCCATGTAACTATTACAATATTTGGTGAGTCGCAAGTGACGAGTTCTGTCCCCTTTAATAGGTACCTTGTTTAATCGCTATAATTTACACGCTAATCCGTGGCTTATTCTTTAATTAAAAATTCAGCAAATTAGCAAGTTAAATAAATCAGTACCTTCTTATTTTAAAGCTATGACAGTGTACTAAGCGCACATAGTATTATATATTATGTCACAAATAGTTCCATTGATTACTACTTAACTAAATGCATCCCAGAGCTACCCCCCCCCCCCCCCCCCCCCCAACCCAGATTCTCACCCACAATGTAGGCCTATGGCTCCGAGGCACAGGTAACCCACCACTCTGGTGACTAATAAAGGTAATCGACATTGCAAAAAAGGAAATACCTGATAAAACAAAACCAACCTCGGTAATTAATTAATTATGCTAATATTAACACGAAATCATCTTACTCGAATTATACAAGGGAAAAAACAATTTATTAAAAAAAAGATATAATTTTCTCTGTAGTTAGCGCTGTTCACTTTTTACAATAAATAAATAATATTTTATCCAATTATCTATTGTTTCTATTCACCGTTTGTCTATTGTCTGACTATTTGTCTATCATTCTATCGATTGGCATACACCCACCCACACGAGCAAACATACACATACACACACATATATATATATATATATATATATATATATATATATATATATATATATATATATATATATATATATATATATATATATATATATATATATATATATATATATGTGTGTGTGTGAGTGTGTGTGTGGTTGTGTGTGTGTGTATATATACTGATAGGGAATTCTTAAAGTTGAATTTTATATCTCACAAAAAAGTTTTAGCCTTTTTTTTAAGTGAAAGACAAATGTCATAAAAATGGTTTTAACTTTTTTTACTCACTAGAAATATTTAAATAGAAATCCTGTTTTACTGGCTAAGTATTTGGGTAATAAAATAATCAGTTTGAAACAGTTTTGGTGTTAGCCAATACAATTCTTTTTGTTGTAAATTTGAATGAGTTTCACCAAAAATAATCACTTAAAATATTTTTACGTACAGGCTCAGTGTAGATCCCCCTGTTATAAAAACTTTTGAAAAAAAAATTTTCAGGCTCCATAAAACTTCACTACTGAATGTATGACATGAAATGTGAAACTAGATCATTAAGCTAAAATATACAATAGCTGTGAAAATGTAGAATAAAAACTATTTGTACTAGCTTCTGTAAACTGTTCAGATCTAGTTTGAACTTTGAATCCTTTTTTAATGATTAAACTATCCATTGGTCATATAGTTATCTAGCAAAAAGTGTTGTTTTTTTTTTAATTAAAAGTATGAATACTTATATGTATATGTTTATATATATATATATATATATATATATATATATATATATATATATATATATATATATATATATATATATATATATATATATATATATATATATATATATATATATATATATATATATATATATATATATATATATATTTATTTATTTATTTATTTATTTATTTATTTATTTATTTATTTATTTATTTATTTATTTATTTATTTATTTATTTATTTTTTATTTATTTATTTTTTTTTAATTAATTAATTTATTTATAAATGTATATATTTGTATGTTCAAATGCATATTTTACAAAATAAACATATTACCGTTTAATCTTCGACATGGGTTTTGTAACCAGCAAAACTTGCTGTTACTTGCATATCCAGTAATGGAAAAATACCCAGAAGCACAATAGAAATGTTTTTTGTGTGTCCCCCCAATGTCATAACTCAGTCTGGAATAGAGAGCGTCACCGTGAAACTGATATTGCAGTGTGGATCTCGACACTTAACTCTGCTGCTGAACTGTTTTTTTTTTTTTCTCATAGGTGTATGCCACTTAATCAACTCTGGTTTAATTAGAAAGCAGGTGGGTTTTTTTTCTACAAAAAAATTTAACCAGCGCGTTATACTTTTAGTCGTTTTTTTTTTTTTTTTTTTTTTTTTTTTTTTATTTTTGCCTATTGCTATTTTTAGTTTAAACTACAGAACGTGCCGTTATTTTTATGTGATTAATTTAATTTTCGTCAAAATTTAAAATATATCTTGTTTTACCTTTTAGGATTATGATAGGTTGTAGGTCATTCAAATTATTTTTAACGGAGGTCTTTTTTTTTTTTTTGCTTTTATTTGAGGTAGTATAGGAACAGATTTCCACCAATATAGCGACCACACTATCCCTCCTCAACTTTAAAAAAACAACTTGGCTATGCGACTCAAGCTTGTTTTTCTTTCCGGATTTGCTTCCAAAAACTTTGTCCGGCCATTACCAATCTCAGTGGAAACAGTTGTATAAATTAGTAGTTTTCTTTCATTTAGAAATGTGGGGTAAACTGAGCTGCTAAACTAGTCCATCATTCACCCTCATACACCAGACGGTGCTGTCGGGTGGTCGAGCATACGGCAAACGACTGTTAACCCGAAAGTCCAAGAGTTCGGATCCCGGCTTCAGTCTGTATTTTCCTGAGCGAACCCAGCTCTAATGAGCACCTGACTCACTCATGTCATGGAAACTAAAGTCGGCTGGACATAGCGCTGACCAAAACGGCTCTTTATTTGCTGAGATTTAAAAAATAATGAACCTCTACTTCGCCAACATTTTGGAACGCCAGGTTTGAAAATGTAAATTTTTTTTAACATTTTCATCCATCGATATATTGAAGAAAGTAAAAGCTTCTAATCACATCCACCAATATCTTGAAGGAAGTAAAAGCTTCTAATCGAGTTTATAAAGATCCAACATGTTTGGTCATTAATTTACCTCTTCTTGGAATCCATGCCATAGGTCGGCACTATTAAAGAGCTCTACTGCATGGTTTACTAGTTCCGCCTCTACTACGATATCGCTTTTTGAAATCAACGAACAAAAATACAATGGGGTTCACAGTGACCTAGAAGCTAAAATTACCAGCCAATCGCCAGCGAGCAGACACGATCGATATCGCTGGGCATTTTTTTTCAAAGGTCCGCAACACGTCCAACTCCACCTGGCGGAAATGCGCTAGACTGACGCCGTCGCGAAAATCGACCAGCGGAAATACGCTAGATTGACGATGTAGCAAAAATCGTCCAGCGGAAGTATGCTAGATTGACGATGTAGTGAAAATCGACCACTTTTTAACATCATAAACACAAGAGGCATGTTAACTGTTAGGAATCGATAGGGAATCTTCTAATTCTTTACCGTTGAAA